AATACACTTGTAATAACTTGAGAGAAATCCACAACTCATGAAATCGGATAGCCCTTCTTTTACACACACTAGTGGCCAATTTTGGTGAATAACATGATGCTTATATAGTGTGTTACAATTAGGGTTACACCATGTAAGCCCTAATTGTCATGACCTTTCATTTCCATGACCCATGGGTTATGTAACCTCCATGGAGCATCCATGGAGTATCCTATGGGTTTAACCCAACTTGATAATCCATGAAACATTAGCCCACTATACAAGTATGGATGATTTACACAATCAAACCATATTAATGCTAGATTAATTCTTGATCAATACTAATTAAATAATCCTATTAGTATATTAGAACTTATAATATATTAATCAACCTTAAGTGTTATTTCTCTCATTATAGTCTATCCAAGTGCGTGATGCAATGCAACCCAAATGGACCATGTCGGGTCGGGTCAAGTCTTACCAATTATAGTTATGGACTTAGACATTAATCCAAAAATAAAGACATATATATATATATATATATATATATATATATATATATATACAATTGGTGATTATAACACTAATTAGAAGAGTATAAACATTCTAACATGTGGAAAACACTTTAGTCAAAATGTTAGGAGGCCATTGGGTATCAACAAAGGATTGCAAGGCATTGTAAGTCAGTCTATGGTCAATGGACCATTCTTAATGGAGTTTACAGCCCAAGGGAGTGTACTCCTAGATGTAAACTCTCTAATGGATCTCCATTTGAGGCTTAAAGGCAACATGTCCTAGGTGGTTAAGTGTTCCAAGGCTTAAACAACAGGCTAGGTGAGTTTAAGGTCCAAGAATGACCTCTACATGTGTTTACGGCCTGGGGACCACTTCCCCATGAGTTTATGGCCGTAAACTCATGGTATTAAGTACCATTTCGTTGTTTGAAGTCCCTAATTCAATGGGGTATGGGTCTAGACTAAGTTCCACGGCTTGGTAAGGGACTAGGGTGCAATTTGCCCCACCTACAGGGGTTTACAGTCCAAGAACATGTATTAGTCGTAACCTCCTTGGATCTTGTGTTTCTTTGTGATTTCTAGGCACTAAAAATGTTAAGCCTAGTGTACAACGAGTTAGAACAAGATTACTTACGATCTAGGCGCTTGAATAGTCGGCTTTAGCCAAGAACACTAGTGTGTGTTCTTGGTGTTCTTGGTGAAACTTGAAGATCTACACAAATTGAATGATTTCACGGATGAAACCATGTAAGATCACTAGTTCATGTAAGATATCAACTAGTTAGGGCAACAAACTTACAAGTTTTGAAGATCAGGGACGAAGATCGGGATGATACTTGAGAGGATTTCAGCCAAGGGAAAGAAATGAATGAACAAAATGGCCAAGACTTCATCATATAGGAGGTGTTTACGGCCCACATGGAGTTTACGGCCGTAAAATCCCTTGTGGAGGCCTCGAACTCCTTGTCAAGGGGTTTCAGACTTGTTCCTTGTGCTATAGCTTCAGAAGATAAACCCCGATACATATCCTTTAAGTGTACAAGGCTCAGAATGCTGAAACAGACTCCAAATTGTGCTAAATAATAGCACAAATGAGTTTGACTTTCAGTTAAGTGTTTGACTGTACAAGATAGAAAATTTCAGGTTGTCACACCGATGTTAACTAGCACGAGGCTGACACCTTCGTTAGACAAACCTACAGTTAACTTAACACTTTATCAAAGCATGATACGTTCATTACTTTATCTCACGACAAGTAGACTTGATATCATGTTTTTTGTGTTTAATTGTACTAGGTACCAGTCAAATCCTTGAGAACCACATCTTACTACAGTCAAGAATATTTTTTGTTATCTTAAAGGCTCAATTTCGTTAGGATTGTGGTATCCTTAGAAAACAAGTTTCTTTATTCAAGCTTTCTCAGATGCTGACTTGGGTGGTTGCAATCTTGATCGCAAAAGCACAAGTAGATGATGTTAATTACTGGATGGGAAATTGGTGAGCTGGAAATCAAAGAAGCAAACATGTGTATCAATTTTGAATGTTGAAGCTGAATATTTAGTTGCTGCTGCTTGCACATCACAAATAATTTGGATTCAAATTCAATTGCGTGATTATGCAATAAACATGAAAAGAATTCCATTATATTCTGATTCTCAAAGTGCAATTCATATTTGTCATAATCTAGTGTAGCATTCGAAGACTAACCATATTGCTCTTCGTTACCATTTCATAAAAGATCATGTAGAAGATGGTAGTATTAAAGTGCATTTTATGAAAACCACAGATCAGTTGGCTGACATTTTCACAAAACCATTAGATGAAAAATCGTTTGTGAGAATTTTAGGTGGACATGGAATGGTCGAAGGGGGTTCAATTTCGAAAGAATAGTAATACCGGGGGACAGCTATCAAATTCAACGGTTATTGTTCATAGTCAACGCTTCATTACCCTTCGTCTTCATAAATTGAAACCGGAAAAATTATGTGTCTGGTACATTTCAAATATTTTCATTAAGTAATTTTCATTTTTGAAAAATTCAAAAACAACAAAAAGATTTTTCGTTTGTTTTGTCCTTGATTTTCGAAAAATTCAAAAACAACAAAAATATTTTTCGTTTGTTTTGTCCTTTATTTTTGAAAAAATTCAGAAACAACAAAAAGATTTTTATTTCGTTAGTTTATCATTTTTTTTTCGAAAAACACGAAAACAACAAAAAGATTTTTATATGTTTTTTCTTTTATTTTAAAAAGATCAAAAATCACAAAAATATTTTGTTTTTTATTGTTTAGTTTTTCGTGTGTTGTTTCAGGTAACAAAGCTGATTCTGAATGGTTAATGGTTTCCTTTCTACGATCAGGTAATACCTTCGAAACTCTTGAACTAGTTAACATGTCCGTAGAAGCATGCTGCAACATGTTGACCAAAGCCTCGAATAACTCAATGTGTGTTTAACAAAAGCCTTAATGAAATATTTTATACGGAAATTCCTTCCCAAGACAGGTTTATATTCACATTAGTCAATTGAGCTACTTGATTCTTCTCACATAAGTTTACTTTTTGTCCATCAAAACAGAGGTACTCACGAATTCTTAAACTAATCTTTTTCATCTAAACATTCTTACACGATCACACTCAAAGACATATGTCCAAGAGGTCTTCGATCAAACCCATCGAGACTTAAACATATCAAAATTCTGTGTTAATGATCTGGCATCATGAGACCGTGATGGAATTGAAACCCAGTTCTCTAGATTTTAAGGAATTGACGGGGAACTTTGTTCCAGTTTTTAACGAAACTCTTGTTTATGTACCGAGATTCAAAACTCCAAATCATATTCATTTCGTATGAGTGATCTTCATCAAATTATCGAAACCCACGATGTTGGTTATCCAACAGGATCCAACACAAATTTTTCATGAATATGATTTCCATGTGAGTTTCATTTGATTTCTATGTCATTTTCAAATTTAATTCAAAGCATACTTGTCATTGACTACACTGGTAAAAAATGTGATTTATGTTACAATTTCTCACCTTATGTTTTGGATGATATGTAACGAAGTTGTGTACCCACCCATGAAGCCTTGATAAAGAATCCCTTCGAAACATCTCAATAAGTTCTCGATCATAATTTATGGGAAACAAAACAAGCAGTTGATTATCTTTCTTGATAATTAATGAAGTAGCCTTTGCCTAGGGTTTAACTGCTTTCGTGTCGAAATAATTTTGACATCACAAATCCAAAGTTTTTCTTTATTTGCTTCTTATCTTTTTCTTTGGCACACTGCACTCACGAAATCCTTTAGGTTCTAAGTAGTACCAACTTAGGTTGATGATTTCGAAATTCTGGCACATGACTTCGCTTTAAATCCTAAAAGTGAAAGAGCCTAACCTCCATCCGAAGGTTGCTGACAGTTCATATTACATTGGGGGGAATCAACAAGCTGTGAGAAGTGAGGTCTTGTATTATATCCGGTTTTCAAAGAGAAGTGAGATTTGGATTCATTAAATGCACATCCCGCTTTAAATTCAAATGTTAGGCTTACATACAAAAAGGAATTCAAGTGTTTATTATCAGTTTACGCTTTCAGAAGAAAAATTCCCAAATTCTATCTGAAAAATCCAATTATTCTTTATATGAATTTACAACCCTAGTCATGACTGATCAAACTCATGTTGATGCACCATTACAAACCACTGAAGATGTTACTTCGCAACCAATAATGAAGATTCAAGGAACGAATTATCAAGTAGAAGGGGATGAATCTTTATACCCTGAAGGATTGAAGACGTTGGCCATTGCTTTTGAAGAGAATTTTCCTTTCGATAGCTATGTTCAACTGTTTTACAGTAACTCAGTCCTCGCTTTCTCAAGCACGTTCTACTGCAACATATTCTAAAGCCCTAGATGTCATTACCTTCAACATGGTGAATGATAATAAGGTACCATTAACGAAGAAGTTGTTCTGTCAAATTTTGGATATTCCAAACTCCCAACTGTTTACTACTCTTTCAACTGATCAAGTGAACTACATGTTCAACGAGATGGGTCATCAACCCCCACTTACCAAGATCAATGATTTTAAAAAATCTAGTCTTCCACCGATCTGGAATTTCTTGTTTGGAATTTTTATTCGATTCTTAAAATGTCGAAGTGTTGGGCTAGATAAAGGAAGAATGGAAGTATATGCAATGGTTGCAGGTATCTATTATGATATCCCAGTAGATTACTCAACATAGCTATGGAAATAATTTCAAAAGAGTGTAGAGAATACAAATGTGGTGCAAGGGATTTCATGTGCACAACATTGAGTCTTATTCTCAGATATTTCTATGATAAAGAGGGAATTCTTGTGGATGTTGAGGAGGAAGCAATAGAGTTTTTGAAGTATAATTTTCCAAAGGAAGTATCTGATGATCAATAAATCTTTTCACATGTTGTAAGAATCCTAAATGTCATTTTAAATAAAGATGATGCAACCAATGCTATACTTATTAATTACATGTCAACAATTGATCCGAAAGTTGAAACTGGGAAATTCTTAACGAAAGAAGGTGCAAGTCCTTCGAAGAAGTCTAGGACTTCAAAGAAGACTGAGTTCATCATTCCTGAAGAAATTGTTAAAGAAACAAAGACATCAAAGTCTCCAAAGTCAAAGGCTGATGAGGTAATTTCAAAAGTTGTTATAAGACCTGTTGAACGTGTTATAAGACCTCAGGGTAAACTGACCATTTACCATTAACCAAACCATGAGTCAAAGTCAAAGTGAACTTCCAGTTGACGCGACTCGTCGAGTTGGCTTGCCAACTCACCGAGTCCCTATCCCTTTGTCTGACCACTATCCCATCTCTACTCATCGAGTTTGGCATTGACTCGACGTGTTTTCCTTCTAAGTTGATCACCCAACATTCTTCATTCTACTCGCCGAGTTGTATGAACAACTCATCAAGTTCATCTTCATCTAAAGCACACTCTATGCTGAGACTCGTCGAGTTGTATGAACAACTCGTCGAGTCCGTTCTTGAGGTAAGAAGATTGCCTTGAACTCGCCGAGTCATGGCATTGAGTTGCCGAGTTACTACATGAGTGAGTCTGGCTTCCAACCCACTGAGTCACACCCTATGACTCACTACTCGAACCCGCAAACATGCAAGGGGGGGGGAACTTAGGGACTCGCGACTCGACTCGCCGAGTCAGATGAACGACTCATCGAGTTTGCTACATGCAATTACTATACACATAATTCTTCTTAAATCTAACCCATGCCATTCATAGATCTGGGTTTCTAGGGCCTGGTTTACATGAAAAGTTTCCAACTTTACATGTAAATAAACACCCATGAGGGTTTTAGGGCTCAAAATGCACCAAAAGAGTAGATCTAGGGATTTCATGCACTATGGCTCCATAAAGGCAATAGATCCAAGCTCGTGGAGCTCAATCATGCCTAGATCTAGAGGCTAAACAACTTATTATGAACCATAAGACACAAGCCAACTTGGGAAAAAGTTTCAAGAAGAACTTCCATGGAGCTACAAGGGATAATGAACATGAAAACAGAGGCAAATTGAGTTATACCTCAAGGAAATCACTGAAATAACACCAAGATGTCTGGCCTCCTTCTTCTCTTCTTGATCTACTCTCCTTTTCTCTCAAAATCTTCAAGAAAACACACCAAATCACTTCAATCTCAAAAGGAACAAGGGTTGGACGTTATGGGGAGCTATGAGGTTGAAGGGGGAGAGCTTAGCGGCGGATAAGAGGGTTTAAATAGGGTGCAAACCCTTGAAATTTAGGGTTTCATCAGACAGCGGGGGCTCGCCGAGTCCAGAATATGGACTCACTGAGTCGCCAACTTAAACGTGTTCCGGACCCTGTCCCTACTCGGCGAGTCGGACCTACAACTCGCCGAGTCCAAGGCTAAAAACGAAAAATACTAAGATAAATTTAACGTACCAGGAACCAGGTGCTACACGTATTGTTACAGAGCCAACTTCAGTTACCATTCCTTCGAAGGCTAGAGTTTTTTGCAAATTAAAGCTGAAGTATGGTGGTTCTCCTACTTCGAATGTGATTCACAAGCCTCATCATACTCATCAAGGAGTACTTATGCATGAAGTCCTAGCTCCAGTTTCTCCTCACTCAAAGAAACGAAGGGCTGAGGATATGGCTAATAAGATTTCGAAGAAGAAAAAGAAGACAAAGATGAGGAAGTTAGTTATTCCCATGGAATCATCCGAAGTAGAACAAGTGCCTAAAACACCCGAACATGATCCTCTTATCCAACCTACATCTCCTGAGAAGACTGTTTTCATACCACCCGAAGTTTTGTCTACCAAATTATCTCATGAGGAGGTACGAACTTCATACATCACTGCAAACGTATCTCATACGGGTGCAAATGTCAACATGGGTAAAGGAGATCTAACAAAGGAAACTACTCACCTCCACAAGGTACTTCAGTTATTGTTTCAACCTACAAGTACCTTTGTTTCTTTACCTCCATTTATCATCCTTACTTCTTCCACCACTGATTAACAAACCTTCCAAAAGATCATTGATCAACCCTTTACAACTATCTTTTTATCTCAATCCACAGATCCACCAAAACCAAATGATGAATCAGAAAATGAAGGAGGCTTTGGTAGTACTTTTGAAGATTTGGCTTTTGATGAAGACGAGGGGGATTTTCCTGATCATATGCTGATGTCCATGAAACAATTCAAAATTGTGAATAAGAAGCTCAATTCTATTATTCAGTCTCAAGCAGACACAGGAGGATGAAATTCGACTTCGATTTTTGAAATTGATGCCTTAATGAATGCTTTTGAAGCAAGAATGATGCGTCAAGTGATTGGTATGATCAGACACTCAGAATCCAGAATCCTCGAGAAGACTGATCATGCTGATCAGACAAAGGAGTTAAGGATCAATTCATTCAATTTGAAGTATGTTGGAGCGGTGAAAGAATTAAAGAACATGCAAAAGGAACAACATGCGCTGTTTGTTATGGACGTGAAGAAGGAGAAATAACATGTGAATTAGAAGCTTCAAGAGCTTCATGATGTCATGGTTCATGAAGTTGCAGTTGTGCAGAATGATTATGCTACTCTGAATAAGAAAGTCGATATCATTTGTGATGCTGTCACGAAGTATGTGACGTTGTATGAAAGCTTTAGACCTCAAATTACTCAACTTTCTACAACTTTCAATCAACAATTTGGGTAGGTTATCTCGATGCTTAAAGACATAAAGGAATCGGTGGTAAAGCCTGCTACATCATCGATAATTACTATTGAATTTCATTCACATAAGTTTACCCAGTGTGAAGCCATTATTCATAAACAATTAGCTCCTTTGTCAAGTATTTCGAATCTTCTTCCAACTGATGCCCCACCTGTTCAAACAGGGGTGCAAAGGGGAGAAAGGGGAGTTGGAGAAGGATCTCATGTGAAGGCTGGAGGTGATACTTCGCATGGAGAAGCTAAGATTGTGTGTAAAGTTTTTCCTTCGAAAATTCCATCGAATAAGCCTACAATTTCGAGTGCTGGACTAGTTACTTCAACTATTGTAACGTACATGTCAATCACAACGTTAGTTACGAAGGGGATTGTTATTGGTTCTACTGACCAAGATGAAGCTTTGAAAACAAAGGAAGCTACAAATAAATCAATATACAAAGGCAAGACAATTGTTGTTCAAAAATATAAAGAATATGTGACATCCCCATTTTCATGGCCAGAAAAGACCGATTTTGTTTATACTTTATAAACATCAGAGTACCTCTTTTAATAAAAATGTTGCGGAATTTGTTCCCAGTAAAACATGATAAATATGTTATCAAAGCATTTCTGAAGACAAGTGCTTTTGTTCATTTAAAAACATTTGGGATGTCATCGTCAATATAGAAACATAAGCATAAACAGTACTTACATTCGTTATCACTAGTGATTTATATCTCTTTAATCTGGCAGTGTAATGTGAATTCATATCAACACCTGTGATATAAATAAACTGAGTGGGTTAGGTTGGGAAACCTGGTGAGTACATAGGGTTTTCAACGCACAATAAATAAGTTTATTAACTTTATCAAACCAAACAAACCCGATTACCCGTTCCCGTTATCCTCACTTTACGTCCCTAAAACAGCTAGCACAAGGGAACTACTCTAAGGACTTCTATCGAGGTGACAACACATGATTCGGGGTTTCCTCAGCAATTCACGTATAATACACCAACCATGTGGGGGTGGAGTATTGCTGGTGAGCACACAATTCAAATAAACACTTACAGGTTGCGAGCCTGCTAGCGTTCCACTAGACAGTCTAGAAGTTGTCATGTATACTCCGCTGGATGACTGGATCATCAATAAGATCTATATCGAGGCCTCTGATTATTTTACTTGGTCACACAGCAACTATTACATATACCCATGTTTTACCCAACACATTTTGTAGATATAAAATACATATACAGTTTAAATCATTTAAAACGTATATAGAAATATTTCACCCAGCATAGACAACAAGTATTCAGACAATATGCACACATAGCACATAATTTATGTTAAATACTTCATATCTATGTGTAAGACGAAAAGGACCATGCACTCACTTGAAAAGGTGGTGATTCCCAACTCAGGAAGCGCTTCGCTTCTTAAAAATAATTTCCTTCGACGAAACCTAGTATTATTACCACTAGAGTTTAGTTTATTATTCACTGACACTAATTAATAGTCTAGCTATTATGGATATTATACAAGAGTTCAACAATACTTATATAATACATAATAATAGCCCAAGTACTTGTTATAAGTTCCTAATAATGTTACTATAATTAAATAAAAGTTGTATTAAAAATAGCATAGGCTTAGCTCACATACAACAGGTTTTATAGAAAATCGAACTATGCTTCGAGCAGTGTTCCTGAGCTGAACAACTCTACTTCTCGGATTCATCGAGCACTTCGGGGCTTCTGCCTCGTGCTAGGGAGGTTCCCTAGGCTTTTCGGGGTGTTTCGGGGCTAGAGAGGTTCTAGAGAGAGAGTAAAGAGAAGAAAGAATGGGAAAGTTGTGAAGGAAATGAGGATGGGAGAGGTTCAATTTATAGGTTGAAATATGGCTTAACTCGGTGCCACATGTCACCATCTAGAAGCAAGACTTGAGGAGAAAGCAATGGCCAAGATTGTGCCACATCACCCATTTTCGTACAACACACTTCCGACTTCTAAAATCCATAACTTTGACATCCGAGCTCCATTTTTGACATTCTTTATATCCACGTGCAGGTAAAAATAAGATCTACAACTTTCATTTTGACTCTATCGGCTAATTCTCGACCGATCTTAAATTTAGCAGTATGAGGAGATTATACTATTAAATGTCTGCGTAAAATTCATCACTTCTATATACAGTTAAGTTCCTATTAATGAGAAATTCAATTTGCATTTAGTTCGCGTAGGCCAAAAACCGCTCGATCTAGAATTCGTGTTTCGGGCTGTGCACTGCTAAGCGAAATCTTAGAAAATTCATAATGTTCTCATACGAAGTCAGATTTGGGCGTTCTTTTTTTTTCGTATGTTCTTGGTTTAACGTATACTACAGCTTTTGTTTAGATTTTAAGGCTAAAAATTCCTCCATCATAAATTCACTATTTATCTCTTCTGGTGTCGTGTCGGTTTTTCCTTAAAACTTCGACGGACCATAACTTTTTCATTATAACTCGGATTTCGGTGTTCTTTATATGTACAGAACCATTGAGACGTATTCTGCAACTTGGTTAAGATTTTTTATTCTAAATAATATTTCGTCGAAAATTTGTTTTTGACCCCTTTTATCTCTAAATTGACTAGCCCAGATTTACGGGCGTTACACTTATCTCCCCCTTAGGATGATTACGTCTGGGAATAATCAACGAAATAGGGCTCACATGATGACTCCATACATTATCTCTTCATCCTAAGTAATAACCGTAACTTTGATGTTTCTTCGAACGAGTATCTCACTCTAAGACTTCCTGATTGTAGGCAGTGCTCGATCTTACACCGGCTCCCTATCTCACGTGAGACTCCAAATTATGACATTCAAGTCACAATCTTGATCCTTACTGGATACTGCTTCTACTATTTAACCAACTTACGATAAGTTATTTTATTACTACAATGGACGGATGTGTCATATTCTAATGAATCATTATCGTATATTCCTACGTTTAGACCCAGGTCTCTTAGAGTCTTCCAGAACACACTATACATTTCTTCATGTTCTAATCACACCTGAAAAGGTAGCATTTCTAGCCACAAGCAACTATCATGATACCTCTACTGATCGCTTTGATTATCTTTTATTTCAATCTTCTAGCTTAAGTCAGATGCTACATCAAACTTGGTTCTCTGAACCACGTAACATACTTATCATAATCAGACTCAATTCGATATAGATGTACTTATGTAAATGTATAGTAATGTGCTGTAATGTTCTGCGTGTGCTAGCTGTAATGTGTTTTCTCACTCTATCTAGCAAGTATTGACTCATGAATGAACTGACTTATTGTATGATATCGTGTTCTAATAACAGTTCTATTAGCTTCCTAAACTACCCAAATGGTAGCTTACTAGTAATGTAACTTGTATGTATGAACATGGAAGTATACCCTTGCTACCCAAGGGTACTGAATGAACTGGAAGAACCTTTATGACTATATATGTACACATGATATATAACTAATATTTAAACAACCTTTGGACGAGTACCCGATATCCCACCAGACCACATCTCAAGCGCGAAAAGGAAAAAGGGCGGATAAGCCTTCCTACGCATTTTAAACATTTCTTATATAACTATAAATACATAGACATGCAATTGATAATATAAGAGTATAAAAGAAGCTTCATAAAAGCATTTGATATGTAAAAGACTTTTCAAGACAATTTAAAGGAAAACAGTTTAGTAAAACGGTTTGAAAGTAAGAGATTCACTTGTCGATAGTTATTAATCACATGTGATTGAGATAATAACTATCGTAACTTTACTTGTATCCCCCCCCCCCCCATAAAAGTATTTATAAACATTTGAAAACATTTAAAAGGTTAATTTAGGGGTATGAACTCACCTGTTGTGAGTGGTACGGATGAACTGAAGAGGTAGGATGGCTAGGTGACAAATGGAGACGTGTACACACGCACGAGCCTAGTTATCATATACTGAACATATATATAACTAATTAGCCAATTTATAACTAATAAATTAAGTTGGGACACTCTAGAACATGAAAACACTTTGTTTCAAGTGTTAAAGATCACAAGAGTTGCATCCAAGTGTTTGTAGGGAAAAGCTAGAGTGTTTGGGGTTTAAGGGTAAACTCCTTTGGAGTTTACGGTTTTCATGACCATTACCCAAGGAGTTTACGAATGTAAACTCAAGGTTTTACGGTTGTAGACTCTACACTTTATGACCATATTTTTTTTTTGAGGTTTTACAAGTCCATTGAAGCATTTCTACTTGGTGGTTAGGCCTTTGGAAGGATCTAGGGCATCATTTCACTCCTAAATGGAGTTTACGGTCTAAGGACGATTTCTCCATGAGTTTACTACCTTAAACTTATGAGTTTACTACCTTAAACTCATAAGTTTATGGTATTTGGGTTTTTCAAGTCCATAGCTCAATCATGGAAATAGTCTAGGCTAGATTTAGACATGAGGATGAATCTAGACAAGTCCCTATGGCATTGTGAAGCATCTAGGCACCCTAAGGCACCACTTTGCACCTAATCTTGGTGTTTACGGTTTTGGGACCTCCCAATACTGTGAACACCTTTATCTTGGTGTTCTTGGGAATTTTCTTTGATGCTAACATGTAATACAAGATTAATAAGACTCAAGGATGGAAGTACTTACTATAAGGAAGCTTGAATTGAGTTAAAAGTCCAAGAACACTTAGTGTGTGTTCTTGCTGTTTTGGAAAACTAGTCAAAACACATAAATGGATGGATTAAAGGATGTAAAATCACTAGATTAACTGATATACTAACTTGAAAGGGATAGAAACTTTTTTCTAGATTGAAGATATTGAACAAAAACTTGGATGATACATGAGAGAGTTTGGAGCTTACTCTTTTAGGGTGGAAATGAGAAGTGTGGTAAATTGGGGACTAAACTCATGTTTAAGCATGAGTTTACATTTTTGGGAAGATTTTTCTACCCAAACATAAAAGTTTGGCCGTGAACTTCTAAGACACGAGGTGTTTGCGGCTTTGAAATTTCAAAACTCTAGACGACACTTCTTTTCACCCGTTCGTTTAAAGAATAATATTAAAATAATCAATCGAACTTTAAATTTGCTAAAAATATGTAATAATGTAATTGACTTATAAATCGAACTGATTGACTTTTAGGGTTTGACCGAATGAAAAGTTCGAGTTGTCACATAAGACATCTACAAAATGGGAGAAAATTCAAGTCAGTTGATAAGAATCCTTGATGTAAGACCCAAAATGAAACATCAAGGCTAGGATCCAACACAATACTCTACAACCAAGAAGAGGGATGTCGTAATCTAGTTGCAGAATATTTAAAGGTAGGTAAATGACAATTTACCAATTTCCACCATGAAAAACGAAAAAGAAGTTTAAGTTTTAAATGAATTGAAACTCCTAGATCTTTTGAGATTCATTGAACTTTTCAATGGCATGTTTAATCTCATTTATTCCCTTCAAGTTTGCGACTGGGATGCCGAGGATCACAAACAAGGTGTGAATAACCATACGAATCTACGT